CCCCCCCATCCTACCAATTTTGAGCGCTCTAGGTCCACCGGGACAGGAGTTATGAATTTCCGGTCAAACACACACACATCGACACAGACACACACCCAAACAAACACACCGACAAACAAACAGACACATTTCGCGAGTTATATAAAGTAAGTTGGTTTTTGAGGATTATTAGATTTCTATTACATTATTGATTTCTTTTTCAGATGTCTGCCTAGGCTTTCCCACCATTGATCTTGACCCTTTGTTTTACAATAAGAAGCTCATTTCCTTCTTCGAAACGATTCAACTAGCTCCTATGCATTAACACCTTCATTTATTACGATGCTACTCTACCATTCTAAAAGGTCGATTTCGCTACTTGCAGTAAAAATGATGATTACTGCTCCCCTTCATGTTCTTCGCTCTCTCTTACGCCTTTCCTCACTAAAAAAACTGTCCTCGGACTTCAAAGTAAATGAAAAAAACAGGGCACTTATAATGAACACCAGGATCAACTGCTATTAATGGCTCTTGTTCAAGGTACTCGAGGATGATCGCAAAATATGGGGTTTAGACGAGTTCAAAGCCCTATAAGCAACGAATAGAGCATCACCATTCAATCCTCTGGAAGTTTTGATGGGAAGTAGAAATTAGTCATGAATATTGCGGGGATCACCAACCCATCTTGACTTCGCGTCACTTTCAAAACTGGATGCTTCCCGAGAGCGAGCTTCTCGAGCTTCTATTGCGTGTTTAGTAGGCTTTCTCCGTGCCATGAAGTTACGTCCTCAAGCTCGCTAACTATTTCCGGCATGAACTCAGAGAAATAAGTCTTAACAAGTCGTGAGAAGAGCATTAGCCACTCACGATTGAATTTCTTTTTGTTCAGTGCCACCGTTCTTCGATTATCTCCAAGCCAGTTCACGCGGTACGCAATGTTTCGTGGGCTGCAAAACGTGGAGAGTGCATAGGGTTACTGGGTGAGTTTCACACAAAATCGGAATGCTCTAAAAATTGCATCGCAAATGAACTAGCACGTTTCCCGTGCTTGAGCTCCCCATTCAGGTGTGAACGGGGCGGGAAAGACTAGCACGTTTCGAGTCCTTAGTGGTCAGCAAAGGGCGGATCGTGGAGTCGTCGTTTTGGAGCAAAACCTGCTGACCCCTGGGTGAGTAGATATTCTTTTTGAACATTCACACACACATTTTTGGCCTTTTTCATGGTTTACCTTAAGAGCTAGTATGTTTACTCGAGTCGGTTACTGTCCCCAGTACGATGCATTGTACATGGATTTGACACCAAGAGAACACTTGGAAATATTGGCCGGTTTCCACGGTTACACCAGTTCTTCCCTTAGCCAGGTGAGTTTTCTTTTAAGACACTCGGCATTTTTCGCAACTGATCTTTGTCGATTCGAGGTGGCTAAGTACTTGATGGAAGTCCTTGATCTTTCACTTTACGCCAACACCAAGACAGCTGCTTTGAGTGGAGGAACCAAGGTACCTTATCTGCTGCTGAATTTATTGACCAGGACAAAATAATGATGTAATCCAAAGATACAATTCCTTCGAGCGCCATTAGCTTTTCTAACTTCACCCTGCTGCGATGGATCGATCCGCCCTACCGAAGTTTTGGAATCTCCAAAGTGAACAAATGCAGCAAATCTCCGTCGCAACGGAGAGTGTTATTTTTCGACAATTTGGTCTGCTTGAAGAATGGTCAGCGCTCAAAATGAAGACAGCCACTTAGCAAAGTTACTCGTAAACAAGATTTGTGACCTAGTCCATCACCTCTACCATGTGCTGATCATTGATTTCCCAGGGCGGGCGCCTGTGAAAACATTCGGAAAGGTTCAGTGGTCGCCCTTCCTCAAGGGGCACGATGTATAGCATTACTTCGGTCCGGAACCGTAAGCCAAGTTCGATCGCTCGGAAATCTAGATTTTCTTCTGCGCTTGCATGTTTCGTGGACTACCAAGCTTCGTCCTTTCCATATCACGTTGAAATACGCTGACCCATCCCGCATGTATCCGAGTATCTATGGCGTATGTTAAAACAGAAAGCACCTCGCTGTCAAATGGTGAACGCAGAGCCGGATGTTCCCGCCGCGGTACGTTTACTTTTGCTCAGCACCGGAGCAAAGTCACTATCTTATCCTATCGACCTAGATGAAAACTCCCGAAATAATTATTATAATTCAGTATATGACGAACATCAGGAATTAGTTCGTTTCTCACCGGCCTCGCCCTCCTGAGACGCAATTGCAAGCTCATCTTTCCGAAATCGTCAAATTCGGCCAGCATTCGTTCTGCTTGCTATATTTGTGGTCGGTGTTACAAGCACGATGCACCTGTGATGTAAAATTGGCCTTCGACTTTCACTCCTATGTTTTTACATTCAAAATGCAGCACTGAAGATACAGGGCGAGATGGTATCGCTCTGCCGAACCCCTCTCTTCACCTTGACTATAAGTTAGTAGTATAGAGCAGCGAAACCTTTCTCGTGAAGTTCTTGAAGATTACTTAATCGTCGAGTAAGAACACTCTGACCCTCCTTCAAATCGAAGAACATAAGACATAACAGGGTCCTATTCTCTAACGACACCCCTTTTCGTCTTGAGTCAGTGTGGGTATGATTGATCGTACTGAATGAAACCTCTTCGGAACACTGCTTCCTCGCTATTCTTCGTCCACTGTTCCGTCAACTCTGTTCAAACTGAGTCTTGTGAGAATTTCGTTGGTAAGAGGTGTGCGCTAGTTGCCAATGTCGTGTGAGTCTCCCTTTTTATACAATAACAATGTCACACCTAGTTTCTACAGAGCGGATAATTCACATTCCGACCTCGTGGTGGCTTAGCTAGTGTTCGGCAGTAACTGGCGGAAAGCTCTTCAGATGTTATTGTTTAAACCTATCTGCCGAGCGCTGTTAAAATCTTCGTCCACGTGATGGTATGTAAAATTTTGGAAGGAGGTAGGTATGTAACGACCTATCGGTCCTGCTTAAGATGGTAGATAAGTGGGGAAGTAGACGTGACTGCTTAACAGATCAAGTCATTACTTTCTCCACTGTCCTTGAAGATGCAGTAATTGATCCGTCAGGACGACGAAGGGAAGTCACCTTGGTCTATCAGTCTGCGAAGCTCCCGCAGCAATTGCAATTGCAATTGCTTCCCAGTAATCGGAGATAGGGGTGTATTGGCAACTCAGATTCTTTGGTTTACTAACTTAATCGTGAGTTTGTTCAACGAGTCGATTCTTTTCGTAATCATGTGGTCGACAACGAGATCTTTCCTTGAAATTGCAAGAAAAACGAGGCGATCATGAAGTTGAAGTGAGTTTTTCGATCTTCGCAGCTCTCCCGCAAATCATCGAAAGGTAAATTCTGCTGCGAACGAGGCAATTGTCCGATCCCGTGTAAAACCTGGAACAACAGCGACGTCTTTAGTCAAAACTTCCGCTGTCTACCACGTGACTCCAAGTCCTCCGCAAATGAGGGGGCTTGTGGAACTGCGTACTATCATAATCTTGTGGATCAACACTTCAGACAGTCATCTACCCTGCTCATTCCATTCGATCCCTTGAGTCCCGAAATGCAACTCTTTAGCCGTTTTTATCAGTCTCGACTTCAAATTAAGCGACGATGACCTTGACAAGAGATTGCTTCCCNCCCTGTAAAGTCTTCCAGGTCAACATAAAATGCTCCCTGCTTTTTTTATTCGTCGCTTGATCTTGATGGGTGGGCAACGAAGATTGTCAGAGCTGAGTACGAAACATGTCTTTCCAATCGCAAGCGTCCGCTACGGGTTGTAAAGTTTTCGTGCGAACCTGTGGTCATGCCCGTGCGCGCGCTGACGACGACACCTACACGACCAACGCCTCCTAGATCGCATGTTCCAAAGAGCAGTTTTTTATCTTGTATATACTTTTGCGACGTGGGACGCTTTTTCATTCATGTCGCAGCAATGAGTCGTACTCTGTCGTTTTAGCTTGCATCATCAGGTCTTCGATGCACGCCTGCAATGCATATCACCATCTTAGTACTTCCCATTTTAGGCAGCCCTGTTATGGCCTTAAGATTTGAGGCGCCTCTCCAGAGTGGTCGTGCTCAACGCTGCCCTCTTGGCGACTCCCAAAGGTTCAGGGTAATGAGAAACATTCGTTTACATCACTGTTTTTTGCATTTGGGTACCCACGAGTAGCTTGCCAGCCTCTAGCGTAGGACTCCGAGTAGGCGTTGGGTGGCTAGGTAAGCTGTATCAGAGGTTTATTCGTCAGAGACAGCCTGGAATCGCTTTGCAGGTGCTTCCAACTTGCTCGAATGCAACGTTCTGGCGGAGTCGATATGCGGGAACTAACTGCACTTCCATAGATACGCATGCATGAATAGACCACCGAGGAGAGAATCTATAGCTCGACCCAGCACACCGGCAACAGAGAGGTTCCCCCCTGCGTCTCTAAGCATGAGCAAGTACCGGTGACTTTTATTCCACAATTTATTTTCCTACTCGTCATTTGGGTTTGCTTTTCGTAGCCTGGTCAGAAATCGGTTGGAGAGCCTTTAGTGAAAGACATAATCCTTAGAGGAGTAGATTCATGAGACCCAATTCATAGTGGAACTGATTCATACCCATGAAACAACCACTTCCGCAGGACCATCGAAGGCAGAGGCATGCAAAACAAGTAGTTGAATAAGTTACAAGTGTACCAGAAAAGACCTTTTTCATGCGCTGCAGAAGGTCCAAAGAACGGGCTAGAATTGAGAAATGTTTGGCTTATTCAAGTTTCTTGGATGGAAATGTTGATAGCACTGCAATACCTTCTTTTAAAGCGAAAACTGTCCATAGCCCAAGCTCTTGTGGGTAACCCTGCTCTACTTCTGCTCGACGAGCCGACAACAGGAATGGATCCGAAAAGCCGCACATTTCTATGGCAGGTGTGTGCATTATAAAAGTAATAGAAAGAGATAGATAAAAAACAATAGATTGAAATGATTGCATTTCAAAACTTTCATTCGATTACGACATCACTAGTGAGGTTTCATTTCACTGTTCAACACTAGCAACTTAGAGTATCATAGAGGCATACAAGAACTCTACTCTACAAGAAGTTCGTGTTCACTATTTGAACTTCGCCTCTCATTCTTTTTTTCGTACTATTACCTTGTCCATTCACTGAAATCGTTCCTGCATAGGAGCAATCACACAGTTGCCGCTTATTATTGCCGATGTTGATGAACTTACCAGGGAGGGGTAGTCTACTTACCGTGGAACTTTGAATGGAGACCCAGATAAATCGATAGAGTTTTGAATGCTATTTACGAGAATGGAGATTAAAACTGCTGAATGATTCCCTAAAAAGTTATGGGGGCTGGAAATTTGCTTGAGAGCAGTATTATTTGGAAATGCGAACTCGTCGCCTTGGTATCAAATGCCGACGTGGCATAGTGGTGGTGGTCTCACTTCATAGGTGTACGGTCCATGTTTGCTCCCCGCCATCGCCGACATTTTTGCAAAGTGTTTTCTATTTCATTAACCCATTGACGACCATGCGGTCCACATGTGGACTGCAGTTGTATTTTTTGTTTTATTCTTCTAAATTTCCACTTTCTTTCAATTCTGCTTCTCAAAACATTACATCAGGCCTAGGTGAAACTACATACAGCGTGGTCCTAGGAAATCTTCCAATTTTGCATTTGTAAAGGTGTTTTTTTTTCGAAAGAGTACATTACCTTGGTGAGCTTTTCGTTCGTTGAACAACTTTAAAAAATGAGA